GGAACGAACTTTTGGGACTTCCTGTATATCCCGAATATGGATCGTATGCGACTGAAAATCAATAGAGATACCCACGGTGTATCGCTTGATTCTGCTCACGCTAGATTTGGGGCCAATGTAGCAAGTGATTTTGGAAGTAGAACTTTTTTATTATGAACTTCTATAACTCTAGCTGAAAGTCGAAAAGCTGGAAAACAACTGTTTGAGACTCTAATGACAGCAATAAAACTGGCATTGGATTGGCACTCTCGCGGTATTTATTTTATTAGGAGCCCATGATTTTATTTAGGTGTTTTCGGAGCCGCAGCCGAGTTCCGGTTAAGTTTCGCTTTTCGGTCGATGTTAGGTAGGATTTTGTGACTTGTTGACACTAAATAACATCGAGCGAAACCAGCGTTCCTCGGAAAGGCTATAAGCTGCGTCGTTCAATGCAGTACAGCTGAGTCTATTACAGATTTAACATTTTTTTAGTAATATAAACTGGAAACGTTAATATTGACCGTTTTATAACAGGGGCTCCCATTAGATCTGTTCCACAAAATATCTGTTCTTCAGGCGATTACAATTCAATACAAATACAATTCTGGGTTTCTGAGGGTATGTGATGTCTGGAATAGCTGCTTTGTGTTATTTACCAGAAACCCCTTCCCGCTCCGCCCACTGAAGGGGTGAATTGCGTCCTTTGGACACACCCATTGTCCTACCGAACACTCAAAAGTCCCCCCACACCCCGCCCCCCCCCCTCACTGAAGGTCTGAATTTTTCCCTATGACCACAGCCAAACTGGCCAGTAATGTCTGGACATACGTCGACTAGGAAACTTCCCATTAAGTCAGGTTGCAGGTTGTAGGTGCACCTTGCTGGCTGGGAACTCTTCCATCAGTCTTTCTGGGAGGAATGAACAGGTAAATTTTCCCCAGCAATCTCCCAAAATGCTAAAAATGGCTTCAGAAAGCTTTATTCATGCTTTCTTGTTGTTTTTAGGCCTTTTTTCAAATTTTACCTTCGGGTGCCCCTGTTACACCCCTTGCATTTTCTTCGCTGATGGAAACAAACGGTAAAGCTTGATAAATAGGCGACCTTGCACATCTAGTTAAAAGATTTACAAACACATCAATCTTCTTCTGCAAAAATTTCATGACCATGGCTTTTGTTTGATACGGTTTGAACGCACCTAATATCAAACGTTTCGGACATCAACACGACACTTAACCTTTTTTAGTCCGCTATCTGGTCCCGAGGTAATATTCTTGATCTCTAACACGAGTTTACCCAAATTTGGAAAACGTCCTTTGATTGGTCCGTATCTACGAACGTTAGTGGCAGTTCGTTTCAGCAGACGTTTGTGGGGCAGGAACCGCCGTGACGAACAAGTCGGGTAGCAGAGGCCGGAAAATAGGGGTTTCGCACAACCCAGGGATTAGAAAAGTTTGGAAAGCGGATTATGGTAAAACCTGGCTTCCTGAATAATGCCTTGTAGTTAGTGGAGCTGAATTATTGTATACGTTTTTAGTTAAAGGGAGGTTATTATTCCGGTGCCAAACCACAGGGTACCCAAGTATTATCTTTTGGGAAAAAATTTATCTGCTTTGAAATGCAAAGGAAACGCATGAAATCCTATCTAATCACAATTTTTGGTGTTAGGTTTGAGTGAAAACTAATTGTAAGCTAATTTTGCACTATTAGCCATATAATATGTTTTCTGCAAAAGGCGTTTATAGTAAGTGGTAGAAATTCGAAGTACGTCAGAACCAGTGCTCTTCGGACTCCCGTCGTTAAGCGTACCCTACACTATGTAGTCATCACCGTAACAGCAGGATTTATGATAAAAATCAGTGGTAAGAGATTACTTCTAGAGACAATGGTCTAAAATAACCTTGGCTTGGCATTTGATACCGTTCTTGAGGAGGTTAAAGAATTTAAGGATCTCGGAATATTGACTGATTGCAGTTTATCCTGGAACTCTCATACTGACATGATTACTGCTAAGGCAAACAGAACGCCGGGCCTAATAAAAAGAACGTGCAAGGATCTCAAGAATACAGCCACTTTAAAGACCTTCTTTTGTTCCCTCGTCAGATCTAATTTGGAATACTGTTCGGTTGTCTGGTCTCCCTTCACAAAGAGAAACATAGACAAACTTGAAAGAATTCAACGTAGGGCAACCAAGTTTATTCTAAACTCCAATGATCAAGGGAGCTCAAGTTGTTAACCCTTGAACAGAGACGTTTCTTACTTGATGTCACTTTTNAAAACTAATTGTAAGCTAATTTTGCACTATTAGCCATATAATATGTTTTCTGCAAAAGGCGTTTATAGTAAGTGGTAGAAATTCGAAGTACGTCAGAACCAGTGCTCTTCGGACTCCCGTCGTTAAGCGTACCCTACACTATGTAGTCATCACCGTAACAGCAGGATTTATGATAAAAATCAGTGGTAAGAGATTACTTCTAGAGACAATGGTCTAAAATAACCTTGGCTTGGCATTTGATACCGTTCTTGAGGAGGTTAAAGAATTTAAGGATCTCGGAATATTGACTGATTGCAGTTTATCCTGGAACTCTCATACTGACATGATTACTGCTAAGGCAAACAGAACGCCGGGCCTAATAAAAAGAACGTGCAAGGATCTCAAGAATACAGCCACTTTAAAGACCTTCTTTTGTTCCCTCGTCAGATCTAATTTGGAATACTGTTCGGTTGTCTGGTCTCCCTTCACAAAGAGAAACATAGACAAACTTGAAAGAATTCAACGTAGGGCAACCAAGTTTATTCTAAACTCCAATGATCAAGGGAGCTCAAGTTGTTAACCCTTGAACAGAGACGTTTCTTACTTGATGTCACTTTTTTGTTTAAGGCCCTCAATGGCTATATGGATGTAGATTTTTTCGCAATTTTTGGATTTTTATTGTCAAGAGGATCGCTACTCGTTTCGACACTTTGATAATAGATCATTAAAGAAGAGATTTGCTAGGACAAATGTACTTAAAAACAGTTTCTTTCATAGGATAGTGGATAAATGGAACATTCTGCCGTATGAGATCCGCTCTGCTTCAAATGTCTACATTTTTAAATACAAAGTTATGAAATTTTTATTGCAATGTAAATAGTATATATTAGCTTGTTTTTTAAAGTAATAATACTGCTACAGGTAGTGTTTTTTTTTTACATATATACATACATATAATTATATTTTTTTTATATTTTGTATCATAATTTATCTTAAATAAGGTGATTTGTTATTATATGGGGTCGCAGTAACTCTTTTACAAATCGTCCTTATGGCCTTTACCTTACTTACTGCCATTAAATTGTAATAAATAAACAAATAAATTTTCATGCAGTGGTCTGATCTGTAATGACTTTCAGGATATTTCGCTATTCTACACAAGTGAAATAATAAAGAAAAACTTTTATCGATATTGATTTATTGTTGATATGTAAATGCGCTAGTACCTGGATGATCTCAAAATTGTTGTTAAACGTTGAAATTATGGGGAAGAGGAAGAAAAATGCTATTGACTCTACCACCAAACCGAAGGCGAAGAATTTTGAAACAGCAACAAGGCAAGTACATCTCAAATCAGGAGATGAAAGAGCTGAAAACAGTGAAAGCTGACTGAGATCTATTCAGACGTCCGCTTATGGTAGCCAACGCAAGGCATACGTCCAGCCTAAGAGAAATTCTTTCGTATGAGTTATCTCCAGTCCCGTCTTCACTAGTTCACAACGATGGAAGCGTAAGAAAAGTTATAAAAAGTGAACTGGCATCAGTTCTGGAAAAGGGAATCAACGCTCCAGCACTTCCAGCCCTCACAGACGGCTTAATTGTTCATATTGTGGATGGCATGGCCTTTATACAGTTGCATAAATCCACTGGATCCAGCACATTTGCGGGCGAGTTAACCTCCACATACTTCACTATGACTGCAGCATAGCTGTCAAATAGCAATGGCTCGACCGGACGGTTCATCTCGTGTTTGAACAATACTTGATAACCTCAATCGAAGCTGGGGAGCGGTCCAGAAGAGGTGTTTCAGGTGCTCGTAAAGTCCGGATAATGGCATCCCTAATACGCACAGAGGTCAGCGACCGCAGCATGCAAAGAAAGTAGTGTTCGATAGCCCGGGGCTAGTGGATTTTGCTCTTGGAAATGTGAATTATGCATGTTTTTAACTTGCCCGACTGACAAGTGAAGTTTTTTTTTTGAGGAATTCAAATTACAGAAGAACTGTAATCAATCATTTCTGTTCATCAAAACGTTTTGGGGGCTAGTTGAAATGACTTTTGGTCTAATAAATGCTAGCTACTGCTTGCCCGCCCGAATGGCAAGCTATAAAACTGACTTTCTTTGCCCCCGGCCCGCTAGAGATACATTTAAGTGCATACTATCCAGCAAAGCCTAGGAGAATGAATGTGTCAGTCTCATGTCTCTGCAAGCATTCTACGCTTCCACGCCCTCACTGGCTGCGTTTCAACAAGCAGCATATCCCAACTCGAAAAGAGAAAAGCGTGGATTGTTCTCAAACACAGCACCTTAGTATCACCAGAAAGCTCTCAGCCTTTTTGTTTAGAAGCAATACTTAGACGAGACAATATTAAGAAAGACCGAGGCTTTCATTCGTGATTTGTATCCCAAAACAAGAAAGAGTACAAGAACCATGGACGAGCTGCAGTACCTTACAGTAAAAATGCAAAAAAAGAGGTGCTTCCACTAACTTTGGACAGTTNCAAGAACCATGGACGAGCTGCAGTACCTTACAGTAAAAATGCAAAAAAAGAGGTGCTTCCACTAACTTTGGACAGTTTGAGGCAACACCTGAATCACGCAAGCTACCAAACATTTATCTGGAGAAGCTCGCTAGCAACATTGCAAGATCTACAGAGTCCAAACACCATGGATAGTTATCTAAGACCAGGCTCCTGCTCTGCGTAGCCTCTTTGATAACTCATGCAAGAAGTCACAGTGTCAAGGCAATTGCTCTTGCTCCAATTCAGGTCTCGCTTGTACGGAGGCACGCTTGTGCTTGGCGGACGAAATGTGGAAAATCCCGCACACTGCAGCGGTCCAATATACACCTAGTGACTCAGAGGAGGAGTCAGATATTTATGACTTGGAGGAAGACTGGGAAGACAGAGTGAGTAACCTCCCTCGTAAGCTACGTGTAAATGTGCTATTAGCAGGCAGAAAAATAAAGTAATAATTTCATGTGAATGAATAAAAAACTAAGCACCTAGCCAACTATAAGATATCCTTCTATAATTTATCAGCATCTTGGATGGGCAACAAATTAAAAAAATCTCAAAAGGATTTCAGTTCTGTAGCTGAAGCTCTCTTGCTGTGACGGTGATCCAATTATGATTAATTATAAGGCCTACAAGGAAGAGAAACGAGTAACGGCATGGAACATTCTGGTCGTCCTGTAATTTTGCATGTTGCATGTGCATGGTTGCCAAAACGACAAGTATGTTCTTCGTTCGTCTATTTAGTAGAAAAAAACATTGCTTGGGTGTACACCGTGACGGTAATGGCACTGACACTGCACGGCACGATATCCCATGTTCTGCAACCGTTTTCATGGGCTTTTTAAGATCTCTCTATAAGGTAGCGGGATCGAAAAATTGAAGGAAATCATAGCACTTTAAGAGCTGTTAATTTTGATACTTAATTAGTGGTTTTCACTGTTACGCCATCCAGATTAAAAATGAAAACCCTTTAATACAGAAAGTCTGGAATATGGGAAATGAAAGAAGATAAATTTACAAAAAGTCTTGCCAAGAGTCAAGTCTGTGCAATATTTCATGTGCGAGATGTTCGGAACGTTTTACCCAAATTTATAAAGCTTTGTATTGAGACGCCATCAGTTTGTGTCCCTTCAACGGGTACAAATATGGCCTCCGGAAACCAACAGAAACATCTGTTTTTGAGTTTTCCTATTAATGCGAGAATTCTTCGCTTGAGGAACTCATAAAGATTAAAGTAATATTTATTCTGAGACAGGGAATGTTTAGATAACAAAATCTCCCAAAATCGGTGATGTTTTTAACCCACATAAGAGCTTTCCTGGCCGTCAGCTAAATGCTGCGTCAAGCAAAAGCCTGAAAATTCAAGCGTCCAGTGTCGCAAAACGAAGAACCCTTTTGAACCGATAATTTGTTTGTATAAAGGTTTTAAGGTGCTGTAATACCACATGAAAATAGAAACTCGGAACAAGAGACACTTTCTTAGTTTGAATTTTGGTGACGTCATGTGAAAACCAAGCGTGTGGTTCAGACTGCAAAGTCGATATTTTCTTGCCCACAATACATTTCCGTAGGATAACACAGACTAATAAGTTAACAAAGTTAACATTAACTTGAAATACGTTTTCCGGTGACTAAATCTTTCAGAATGGGGAGGGAGTAAAAATATTTACCCCAAAAGATGAAACTCTATTAATAGTTTGTGACATGTGCAGAAGACATTTGTGATAATTAACGTGCCAACTTAGCAAGGAATCCAAGAGGACACAATAAAGACTGTGATTGTGCGACTGTGAAGTTTTAAGCGTTTTCTTAGCATTTCTAACTTGATAAATATTATTTTCCAAAAAATGCAACTTGGGTACCCTGTGGCTTTTGGGCCCAAAAAAAACCTCTTCAAAACTAAAAACTTATACCACAATTCTACCCCACTAACTACCAAGCATTGTTCAGGGGGTTAAGCTCTACCATAGTCCGCTATCGAATCTTTTCTAATCCGTGGGTGGTGCCGAATCCACCTCTGCCATTAGACTTCTGCGCGGAAGGCTAACCATTCAGAGCTATGGCTTTCAACTTAGTAGTATGTTTCACTTTAGTTTATAATAACACAGTTATTTCAGTGGGGTACTTAGATTACAAGCTATTTGATGACTCGTCCTCTTCAACTACAGCGGTTTCCTTATAGCCACGGACTAAAATCGGTAACATTTTAAAATTCACAGCCAATAGCAGGTCATGACAAATCAGTGGTTCCTGCTAGTTGCAGTGGAGAATGTGTGTGCATCATTTCCCTCCGTCCCTTAAATCCTCATACCAATTCTTTTCACTAGAAAACTTAGGTCAGAAATTAAGTTGTTTCTTTAAGATAACGGAGCCAATAACTCACTCTAAGGGAAATAAAATACAGCTTTGTACAACATGATCGTGAGTCCATAATTTCGCTCGTTAATTTACCGTCGTTCACAACATTACTATAATGAATTCTTTTGCCGATTATTTCATTTTGATATACAATGTTCACAGAAAGATCTCTTAAGGCATCTAAATAAATTTGAGTGACGGTTATATTAACTGCTCATCCGTTGAACTATCCAAAAACGTTTCAAATCGTCTTCCCCCAGGATGATTAACGGCGGACGCGTTTTAAATAGATAAATAGGGGATGACAGAGACTATCGCTAACACTACCGAATAGTTACCTTCAGAATTATTAATATCTGTCCATACAAAAGTATTTCTTTTTTCTCCAGCTTCCTTTAAAACACCTTTAATCAAAGATTTCAGATCATATCTTCAAGTTCTTTTCAAAACGATCAATATATCGTGTCTGTGCAATGCTTTCGACGGATATAAACTGAAACCAATTGATCTTCATATTACGCTCCCATCTTCCTTCTTTCCAAGAATTCACAGTTGACTAATTTGGTTTGTTTAAAAAAAAGAATTGAAATGACGCATTCTTCAAAGAAGTACATGCGAGTAAACATTTCTTGAATAAATATAATTATAACCGGACACACAAATATATGGTAAAATTTGACGAAATTAATTAAAAGAGCTGAAATTTAACGGATGCGTTGCTACCTGGAGGAAGTATTCCCTTATATAAGCACGATAAGATATGTGCGGCGCCAAAGAACTTAGTTTTTAAGGTAACTTGATAGGGTTTTTCGGGGTCAATACCTTCCAAGTTTGAGCATGAACTATGTCACCATTAACGAATATTTAGAAAATTACGACTACAGCTGTATCAGATAAAGATGAAAATTTGTTATGATCAGGGTTGCAATGACATCGGAGTTGTCATACCTACGAAATTACACCATTACCGGGGGACTGCTCTTCCAAAATCGTTCACGGGAACTTTTTCCTACAATAGAGGCCTTGATGTCTAAGCGAATTGAAATCTGTAAGAGTGTTAACAAGATATTTTGGGGTGAGGTTTTTATTGTTAGAAATACGGTAAAAAACTAAAAAGTCTGGATGTTCGACCGTAATTTATAGAAAACAAAGCGCTTTTGAAATGCAATTTCACCTCATACATGTAGTAGTTTGAAAGTGTCTGAAAGATCATGGAGATAGCTCTTAGTAATCAAATCCTTCATTCTGGCAATCGGCTGTGTTAGCGGTTTTGTAGACATTTTGGTCTGCTTTAACAAATAAGGAAATAGGCTCCGAGGCTGCGCTATGTAGCATTTTTTAAGGCACTTTTCTGAACAAAAAGACGATTTTAATCAACATCGATTTCCTTACAGGTAGGATGACTCTTTTAGCTGTTATGACTTCTCCATCCCACAATTCTTGTTGGCATTTATAACTCACCGCAATAATTAAATTTTGTCACGTGACACTTATTGTTTTTGGAACGATATGACGCAAAGGCGATAACTTCTTTTCGGAGAAAGAGATAAGGGAGGGACTCGGTCGACACCTAGATACCAGTATTGTCACGAGTGCTGTCACCTTTATTTTGACGCATTGCTTTGTGAATCTCTTCCTTGTCTGTTTCCTTTTTATCGCTGAACACGTAACACGGCGACCGAGATACACAACTGGGATACGAAATGAAAGCAATAATAGCCTTACTGCTCACATCACTCCTTCAGCAAGGTAAGTAATCAGCTATGCAACAAATCATTTGGACAAAAAACGATCGAAAAAAATCAATCGAATCAGAATTCTATGTCTCATCATTATAAGGGTTGAGGTATCCGTTTCACTGACACCCCATGACATGTCCATGACTCAGTCAAAAGCTCATGTTTATAAGTTACACAGTGTACTGAACAAAGTGAGATTAGCTCTGTTACCGTTGCTACGACTGAGAATAAACCATGAATGTCTGCTAGTCAGACTTCTTTAGTGGTTTGGCCCGTATTTCTTTAACACTTCAAATTTAACGTCATGACCTCCGAGATTGTTCGTAGGCATTTGTGATGTTTGTTCATGTAATGTTTCGGTGTGGACTAGTTTTGTGAAGGTGATGACTGATATGTTTACAGAATTTACAACTCACGTTCACTTGTCAAAGGATAAACCATTCACAGCTATTGCATTAAATTTAGTGGTATCTTTCACTTTAGTTTATAATAACTGGCACAGTTCTTTCAGTGGGATACTTAGATTACAAGGTACTTACTTTACTTACTTATAGCGCCGGACTTAAATCTGTAGCATTTTAAAATTCACGGCCAATAGCAGGTCATGACAAATCAGTGGTTCCTGCTAGTTTCAGTGGACAGTGAGTGGAGAACATGTGTTCATCATTTCCCTCCTTCCCTTAGATCCTCATACCAATTCTTTTCGCTAGAAAACTTAGGTCAGAAATTAAGTTGTTTCTTAAGATAAAGGAGCCAATAACTCACTCTAAGGGAAATAAAATACAGCTTTGTACAACATGATCGTGAGTCCATAATTTCGATCGTTAATTTACCTTCGTTCACAACATTAAAATGAATTTACATGAATTCTTTTGCCGATTCTTTCATTTTGATATATAATGTTGACAGAAAGGTGTGAAATAAATTTGGTTGAGCGTTATATTAAAAACTTTAATGGCATAACTGCTCATCCGTTGAAATATCCAAAAACATTTCCAATTCCCTTCCCCCAGAACGATTAACGGCGGACGCGTTTTAAATATTGATGCATGATAGAGACTATTGCTAACACTACCGAATAGTTACCTTCAGAATTATTAATATCTGTCCATGCAAAAGAGTTTATTTTTACTCCAACTTCCTTTAAAACGATTTTTTTAAAACAACTTTAAGCAAAGATTTCCGATCATAACTTCAAGTTTTTTTCAAGATGATCAATATATCGCGTCTGTGCAATGCTATCCATTGATGAAAGCAATTGATATTCATAATACGCTCCCATCTTCCTTCTTTCCAAGAATTCACGGTTGACTAATTTGGTTTGTTTAAGAAAAAGAATTGAAATGACGCATACTTCACAAACGCACACGTAAGTAAATATTTCTTCATCAGATATAATTATAACCGGACAGACACACATTTATAATAAAATTTTAGGAAATCAGTAAAAAGAGCGGAAATTTAACTGATGCGTTGCTCCCTGGGGGAAGTATTCCCGTACATAAGATTCATAAGATATGTGCGGCGCCAAAGAGGGTAGTTTTTAAGGTAACTTTATAGGGTTTTTCAGTGTCAATACCTTAAAGTTTGAGCATAAACTACTTCACCATTAACAAAGATTTGGAAAAATTACTACCACAGCTGTATTAGATAAAGGTGGAAATTTGTTGTGATCAGGGGGCAATGACATCGAAGTTGTCAAAGCAAAGAAATGACACTATTACCCGATTTTACTTGCAGCCGTATTTCTCGAAACTGAGGACTGTTCTTTTAAAATTGTCCACGGGAACTTTTTACCACAATGGCCGCCTCGATGTTCGTGAATTTTAAGCGAACTCTGTTCTGGAGCGTTATCGAGATATTTTGTGGTGAGGTTTTTATTGTTAGAAAGACGGTAAAAACTAGACAATCTCGATGTTCGGCAGTAAATCGGTAGAAAACAATGCGGTTTTGAAATGTAATTTCACCTCATAGTAGTATGAATCTTTTTAAAAGATGTCTGAAAGATCATGGAGATAGCTCTACCCTATTGCCAGAATGGAGGACTTGATTAGTATGTTAGCGGTTTTGTAGACATTTTGGCCTACTTTAACAACTAAGCGAATAATTTTTAAAGAGCTCGATAGATTTTTTTAAAAATTTGAGATTGACCGTCGTTTGACATGACCTTTGAGTGTCAAGATTACTGATATATTGTAAGGCAGTAAAAGAAGGTCTACAATTCGCAAATTACTTGTCGGAAATTTCGTGCTTACAAGTGAGAGGCTCTCTTTATTCAGGGCTTTTCCAAATCTTTGTTAATGGCGACGTAGTTTATGCTCAAACTGCTGCTCAAACTTGGGAGGTATTGTCTCTGAAAAACCCCATCGAGCCACCTTAACGTTCGATTCAAGATTAAACGACATGAACATTTTGATTAACGTTCGTTGCTGCCATTCTTTCAATAAACGTTTTAGATCTCAAGGACCACTTTGAAATGAGTCCTTGGTAACGTTACTTTCCTTTTCTTTCTTTTCTTTGTTTCTGCCTAAAAAAGGTAACTTACACTGCTACAATTTCCTTCCCTCTTTGCATATCATTCATGAAAATCGTTGTTCAGAGAAGAAAACTTGTAAACTTGACCACACATCATGGGCATCAATCAAGAGAGGATAAAGGGGACAGAGAAGGCATCCCCCATACACACTCTATTCGATATATAATTCGTCTCGAGTTATTTTTAAGACCACAGATCCCAAGGGGGATTAGACAACAGCCAATCACATAGCGCGAATGTGTTCCGCGTGGATGAGCCACGCTCAGAGCCACGCGTCCTTCACGAATTGACGCTGAAAAAAATGGCGGAAGACGCGGAGAGCGATATTGTTACACGTTTTGTCGACGAAAACGACTAAAGAGAGATTTCTACTAAAGCAGTGTCAGCGAAATGGAAATTAAAAAAGAATCGCCCTTCCTCTCTTGTTTAGAACTAACGGTACAGCAGGGAAATCCTTAACACACTGAATATTCTCTCAGGATCATTTATAATTTACAGTTTGAAGAGAGCAATTTCTGGTTTGATATTTATTCTTCTATTAGTCGTTTATTATTCAACAAAAATAACACTTGGCGTCCTACTTGCTTTATTGTACAAACGACCGGTTTCAATAGACCGGCGAAATTTCTCATTTTATTAAAGCACTGAGGTGACGACAACTTCGAGTTAAACTGATTTCACGGGTTGTCAAAGAGTCCAGCGATTCCCTTTTCCCAGGTGAGCGCCGACTCATTTCGCTTTAATATTCAGAAATGCTTTCGATCTCTTTACGCTTTCATTGCCTTTCGCCCGACATGTTTTGCACGGCGTTCAGTCATGCAAAACCTCCACGAAACATCCACGCAGCGCGCGAGGTAACTTTTTCCCGATTCTAAAAATAACTCGAGACGAATTACCTATGGAATAGGGTGTGTATGGTGGATGCCTTCTCTGTCCCCTTTATCCTCTCTTGGCATCAATGGATTTTGTTCTTATGCTTTTTTTCTTATCATTCATGCAGGAAGAGGAAGTTGGATATTTCGGATTTCTTCAGACCCAATCAGAGTATTTCAAGGTTCCAGTGCTGTGTTTATATGGGGCCTAAGAGAAGATTTAATATCTCAGCCTGCTTTCAAAGGACTCACGTTTGGATTTTGGAAGAATGGCCACCTGACCACTTACATTATTTCACTCACGAAGAGTGGGAGGATTATTCCTAACCCAGACTTAGATGATCAGCTAACGTTCTTTGCTGGCCGTGTGCAGTGGATAGGAAACTTGACCAAATCGTTTGCAGCATTCGAAGTCTCTCAAATAAGTGCGCGTGACCAAATGGATTATGGGATTGAACTACATTTTGGTGCATTCAAAGATCCTGTGTCTGATTTTGTTAGACTTGAAGTTGTAGGTAACTACATGAAGGAGTTTTCATTTCTAATTTTTGTTTACCAGGTTTTAACCAGCAGATAATGCCTGGCTCGACCCAGTATTTTTTTTAGGCATACCTTTCACCTTTGGACCTCTTATACGTAAACACCTTGGCCTTTACTGAAAATCGGTTATAGTACATAGATTACATATAGACTGAACTTTACCTGCGCCAACTTGTCGTGCCTCGTGCTTTTGAGCAAGTTTCTTGCATTCCGATACAATATAGCTAATTGTTTCATCACTTTCTCCGCACATTCTACACTTTGCAGATACATTATCCGCTTTATACTATCAGTTCTGAAAGCTTGGTCTTATGCTGCCATAATCATGCCCTCTGTCTCCTTCTTTAGTCTTCCCTTTTTCAGCTACTCTCACGTCTTTTTATCTCATACTTCTGCTGTTTACCTATAAACCTACCCATGAAGTTGTTTCTCCTAACATCTCAGAACCTCTTCCTTGTACACTGCCTCAAATAGGGGGCCGCTACAACTCTCAACATACCGGCTAAGACTATTGATCTCACTATTTACAGAGACCTCAACACTCGCTAATTCTCTACCTTCCTCTGATCTTTTAAAGTAAAGCCTGTCAATATCAGCCTGCAGATGCAAAGCATGATGTAGAATCATTTATTTGCGTCATCAATCTGTAGCTCTTCTTTCGTCTATTTCACTATTCCTGCCTCATTTCGTATTACTGCCACTGCCCTACGATTGATTGCTTGAACCATATTCTCTCCGTTCAGTTCACACTTTAATATTTTCGTACACGACAAAAGTATTCCTCCTCAATTCTTCTTTTCATCTGGGTGTGTTTGATTTCATCTCCCTCAAGCACCCCTAGGTATTTATAAGCATCCACATCACCATAATTCATTGCCCGAATCAGTCTTCAATCCGCAATGACAATACCCTCTTACTTGACCATTCCAATTCTGATGTTACGTTTTGACAGACTACTCGGACAGAATGTATCCAACTGGTTATTATTATTATTATTTTATAAACGCGCCTTTTAACTAATCTGAGCTTCAAAATATTAACGAGAAAGTAGTATGGCCACTTAAAACCTCCAGTAACATAGACTAAACTGAGCTCATTATTAATTTAGCTGAAAGAACCTCTGCAATGACTACTGTATGGTCACCGCCCCTTTCAGTTCAACCAGGCAGTAACGCTTCCTTTCAGTGCCAGTTTTATGTTGGAGAGGCTGACGAACCCGTCTTCGATTACGTCACAGTTGGGCTCTGGGAACGAGGAGGTATCTCTTCAACGCTTCTGACTTTGACGAAGAGGGGAAATGTCATCGTTAATCCAAAACTAAATAAAGAGGCCCCGTTGTATGCTGGACGAGTTCATGGAAGGCAATGGAAAAATACGACCACCAATACTTCAGGGATAACGGTGAAAATAGAACATGTCGAAGAATCCGATGAAGGATTTTATGGGTGTAGCATATTCTTCGGTGCATTTAAAGGGGTACTTGGTGAATCAGTGAAGATTGACGTGCAAGGTAGGTGGTGCTGCCACCAAAATAATCTACCTACCTAATATCGTAAGGTTTTCCCTTTCCATTAACAGAAAACAAAATGGACCGAAATCATTACTTATCGTTTACCTTTTTCTTTTTTAGCGTTATGTTTATCTAACCATAACAGAAGTCAAAACTAACTGGCGAAGAAATAATTATGTCACTATTATTATCACCAATATTGTTATCACTACCCAGTTTTTATTATCATCATTTTTATTGTTATTGTTATTATCATCATTATTATTACTTTCATTATTATAAATGTTGTTATTATTATTAGTGTTATTACTGTTCATCGAATTTATCGCTATTTGTCTATCTATCAGTTATTGCAGGTTTGAGACTAAGGGCGTTAAAATCATTGCTCTCTTCATGCCCACAGTTCTAACGGTTGCATTTTGTCCTGGATTCCCCTTTTTTTTCTGCAGAAAGAATTATTAATGAAGAGAAGATAATCGCAGAAAGAATTAGGATACTGATACTGTTATTATCATTATTATTACCATTTCTTTTTATCATCATCATTCTCATTACTATTATCATCATTGGATTCCGCTTTTGTTTCTACCAAAAACCAGACACAAACACAAACTACAAGCGACAAACTAAGGTCAGAGACGTCCCTCAGCAGCCTTTGCGGGTTGAAGCGCGAGTTGGTCAAAATATTAACCTTTCCTGCCCAGCATTATCGAAGGTTTATCAACTGGACGGTACATTTAAAGTCGTTGTTTGGTATTCATGTACCACGAAAAATTGCTCTGCCAAGGACACTCAATGGACATGGTTAGCAGGTCTAAACAGTCAGGGAAAGACCAAAACCATCGATAAAGGTTAGCTTTTCACAGCGCTGAAACGAAATGACTTTCAGTCAGTAGTGCTACCTTAAGGCCCATACCGTGAGCAACAACTGGCCGGTCAGACCAGTTCAGTTGTAAAGAGAATTCAAGCGTTAATCAGAATTTTCCAGCCATGTAGACCAGCCTCTCCCTCCTAATTTGTGTGCACGGCGGTGATGGTTTTCTATCAAAACTCTTCGAAAAAAGTCGATTTCATTTAAAAAATGGCCGGACCGGCTGGTTTTGACTTTTGGTGGTCGCCCTCAGCTTTGTTTTGATCTCTAAGAATTCTTCAAGTAGATTTAAACAGAATTTTGGAAACGCGTTTAATAAGTCAGTGTTCTAGGTCGGTTTAGCAGACTGAAGTACTGTATGGAGTTTCAAATTCACGAATTAAATTGTATGATAACTTAATTTTCAAGGCCCTTACTCGAACAGACTAAATATTACTCTGAATGGAACCCTGGAAATATATCATACGGAAGTAAGTGACAGTAACACCTACAAATGCAGCGTACACAGAGTAAACTACACGTCTCCTGAAAGGAACTTCGTCACTCTTCAGGTTGACACCTCAGGTAAGTGATCAAAGACCATTAAGCCTTACTTGAAGCAGGTCTTTTTATCGTTTCATTTGTTTGAAGTACACTTTTAGCTCCTTCTCATTTTCTTTGACTATTATTTTCTTCTTGCACAGTTCAGCAAAAAAAATTGAAAAGAAGGTCTGTATCGTCGCAATTTGTAATAATCATAGCACCTTTTAATACCTGTCCAAATTCGTAAGAAACCGTGTTGCACTTTGAAGTAATAATATTATATATATTTAGCTAAGGCTAAAAGAGAAGCGTTCATTTATATACTTTCAATTACTTAAAAACAAAAAAATAGAACGAATAAACTTCAACCTATGCAAATCCAGAAATTTATACTTAACTGATTTTAAAACAAAAAGAGAAAATTTTAAATCAAATTCGATCACAGTAATTGTCTTGGAAAAGAATTCTTACCCATACTAATAATAAATAATAATTTATTATTTTTAAGGCTCAAATAGCACTAAATATGATCTAATGCACTCTAACCAAAAAGTTATATAAAATTATACGTAAAATTTCCTAAAAAACCTAAAAATTTAGTATAAATATCTCTATGTATACAATTAAAAAGGCATTTTATATCAAGCCATTTTCTCGGTGATAAGGACACTGAAAACTTTGCATTGCGTGACCAAGAGCTCTGCGTGGCGTCGCACTTGTTTGCTGAGGAGGTAAACACAGAGTAGGATTTGGTTGGAGAAAATTTGGCCACCGAAGGTGACGAACTTTATTTTCAAGATCTGCCAATATATAATTAACTAAATATCTCTTCAGCAAAGGTGGGGGAAAAAACCGCCACCCACTCAGGCACAGATTCGATTAATAAATGTATCATAACGTAGTAACTAAAATTACCTTAAAAAGGTAATTAATAAGTCATAATAATAATAATCGTAAACTATAAATCATAGGCTTTTTTAAATATTAAAGTTTTTAGTGTAGCTTTGAGAGGCTTTAAGCTTGTCTCCATCCTTAATGCACTTGGAAGTTTGTTCCACAGAGTCGGCGCAGCCACTTGGAAAGCCCTGTCGCCTAAGGTCTTTTTAGACTTGAACGTCGGTGGAGCCAGTAGCAGTTCATCATTTGACCTAAGGTTGTAGGAGGACTTCTTCTAGACTTCTATTGAATTTTGTATATAATATGGAACCAGTCCATGTATTGCTTTAAATGTTATAAGTATCACCTTCGATTTAATCCTGACACTTATTGGTAACCGTAGTAACTGACACAGTACAGGTGTGATCTGACAAAACCGCGGGGTATTTGTTACTAACCTGGCAGCCATATCCTGAAGACGCTGTAGCTTATATTATTGATATTATTTCTTGGAAGACTATAGAGTAAGCTATTGCAGTAATCTACGCGCCCCATTACCAGTGTATGAACCAAAAAACATCTGGTTGAATCCAACGTTAAAGTATTTCCTGATCCTTCTTATATTGTGCAGAACTTGTGATCGCCCAAACGTAGCGCAACAATAGTGGATCCGTTTGCACAGCTCTTCCAACATTGTTTGGGCTGCGCACGCGCAGTACGCATGGTTTACAAAGACTTATGGGTAGTATCCTTCTCGCGATGCACTGCAGGTCCCAACATTGTTGGGAGTTGTTGCATCCGTTTGCACACCACTGCCAACACGCACGCAACAACTCCCAACATTGTTGCGCCAACAATGTTGGGAGTTATTGCGTCCGTTTGTACGCAGCCTAACTGACTTATCAAATTACTTAATAAATACTCAGGTGCAGCGCCATGAATTGCCTTAAATGCAATAATGAGTACTTTGAAACTGATGCGATATTCAATAGGTAATCAGTGTAGAGAGCGCAGCACAGGCGTTATGAGGTCATATCTACAGATGCGACAAATTATACTAGCAAGCTGAATTGTGAACACGTTGTAGTTTTCGTAAATGCACCGAAGAGAAGGCCAATTGTAATAATCAACTCGTCCCATAACAAGTGCATGAACTATAGTGTTTGAGCGGAATCATTAGATAGATATTTCCTAATTCACCGAATGTTATGAAGATGAAAATACGCAATTTTACAAGTCTTATTAATATGTTCGTTCAGATTTAGGTTACTGTCAAAACATTAGTTCCAAGATTTTTCGCACCCGTGACAGGGCTTACTCTTGTATCACCGATCGCAAGGTGATCAACATTGACTTTCTCCAACTGCCGTCTATTACCGACTATTATAAGTTCAGTTTTACCGTCGTTAATCTTGGGTTTGTCCATGATCATCCACGATCGTATATCTTTAATACAGCGCTCCATTGCGAAGAAGACGATATTACTGTTAAACAAGTAAGTTGAATAAATCTCAAAAAGTTTATTACAAAGCGATGGAATTAAAGCAAATTGCGGCAGCTTAGTTTATTACAAAGTGCGGTGGACAGTTATTACAAATTGCGACAGCCTTTTAATTTTTTAAGAATTGTGAGAGGTATTACAAAGTGCGATGGATTTGTTACAAATTGCAACAAGTATTACAAAGTGCAATGATTATTACAAATTGCGACAGTACAAGGTCCCCTCTACTATGTCAGGAATTGTATCATGTCAAGAATTGTTGCCAAAATTTTTCTTAAACGAGACGTTTGACATTGCCAAAAATAAGAGTCAATGAAAGTACATAACTGCGGATTTTCCACAGTGACGATTTTTCAGTTTCTATTTGCAATCTCAATTTGCAGTGTCGCCTAAAATTACTGAACGGGAGCCGAGTAAAATAGTCCATGTGCAGCTAGGAAGCGTCCTTTTCTTAAAATGTAAAGCGGAGGGAGTTCCCAAACCTGTTGTAACGTGGCGAAAAGATGGCCGACTCATTCAGAACAAAACAGACGAGACGTACTTCAAACGCGAAAATGCCAGTAAAGATGATGAAGGAAAATACGAATGCGAGGCTTCTAACTCAGCTGGATCGGACAGCTACAAGGTGGACGTAATTATAAAAGGTACAAATCGTTTTGTTGAGGTAACGAAAAACTTAAGATTATAAACAAAAAAAACAAACGAGCGGTTTGTTAAACGGATTTCTTTAATTTAATTGAAATTGGAAATATCATTAAAGCGTACAGTTAGGTATTGACTTTCTTCGCCATATGGGCAACAAAGAGACATACGTATGTACACAGTTTCTTAACTTGTCAAGTCGTTCCTATCTAGCGCCAGTGGCCCTAACTGGTGACATAAGTAAGGGTTACGGTCTCCCCATGCATTTTATTAAGTTTGCTTTAAACTGAATGCAGGCCGCTCAGGAAGGCTTGAAATGTAAGAAGTGTAGTGTATTGCCTATTAAATCGAAACTTTTTGTTACTTCAGGGAAAGACTCCAACAACAACAGTAACAACAACAACAACACCTGGAGGACCATTGCACTTGTCGTTGTTGGTCTATTTGTTGCAGTGTGCATAGGTTTTTGTTTTTACAAAAAGGTGATAAGTAAACCGTCACAGACGTCTCCTCCAGAGCAACATAAATCCGACGAAGATGAAACTCTCTTAACGGTACCAAAGAAGAGAACTGCTTCTGATCCAGATTCGAACCCAAATCCGCGATAATTGCATTACAAACATTTAGAATGCAGAACATGCAGAATACTAGGGCTTTTGTTACTTTAGCTAATGTTTGTAAATGATTCCAGTGTTTGAACAGTGAACAATTACTAGGCTAGTTAAATAAACGTTAAACTTCAAACTTCATTTTGGCAGTGGTCATAATACTTATTGCACAAATGCTTCTTGGTAATCAATCTTTCACACTTTTTATTTTATTAAGACGAGGCTCGGTTAAACTCATCCCAAACAATCTGAACTTGAAGAGAAGAGTTTCAAAGAACTCTAGTCTCCCTGGTAACAAAGCCATATACCTTCTTGTAATGTGGCAATAGGTGCGAACCAGGCGAATGAACAGCTGTAGATTTTTCTGGCTCTCGCATAAAAAGGTTACTAGGCGCACTTTGCGTCAATCAGGCCCAACCGGCCAGAGATCATCTTTTTTGCAATAGCTTGAGGCGCTTTGGAGTACTGCAGTCCCCGCTAAGACTGCAAGGTTTACCCCCGACACAACTGCTGTATGTAAAAAAACCGGTGCCCATTTATACGCCAGGAAAAAGAGAGTTAGTGTGGAGGGAGGGTTTTTGAGTAAGGATACAATGGAGTGAAAAGTCTTGAATCCAGACCAACACATCCGAATTATAATGTGTTAACCAATTCACCACTACCTCTTCCCAGGTTTTTAACAGTGGAAATGAGGACTCCTGCGGTCCCTTCCTCGCTCCTGTTTGATTACATCCCGGGTGATTTGTCCCTGCATGACTCGCAGACCATAGGTGTTTTAGGCTGGTTCATTTTTATGAGCTTCCAGATAGTCTATTATATTCACATAGTTCTGAAAGACAAAAAAGCAAACTATTAGATTACAAAGGTAAACTCAATCCCACTTTCTCTTGGCTAGAGGGGAGGAGCTTTCTGGTTAAAACTGGCATAAAACTACTTATTTTTATGTAGAAGCAATAAAGAGTAAACGGAAAATAAGGGGAAAACTTGGTCACGTGGTACAAATTCAAGTCTGCCGTTTTGCTTAAACGTGAATCTGTATGCACCTGACAAGACCTTGAAAATTGTGACCTAACTTTGCTTTCAATTTATGAGTGCGCGTCAAGTGAAATCGACTTTCAGTGTCATCCATGACATGAAAATATAAGCTTAATTCCTACCTTGTTGAGCCTGTAAGTTTGGAATGAACATTTCCAGAGGCAAATCGAAGTATGGTTTGATAAATATTGTGTCTTGTGCCTTGTATTGTGGTATTAAAGTAGTTTCTGTACCCGAAACATGGACGGTTTAAGTCCGAACTCCCCAAGCCAGTCCATCAAATCTGAGTGTTTTTCAAAAAACTGTCAATCAAGAAGCGAAGTGCGTTCGCTTCTGATTGGCCGAGCTTTAACATTTCAACATTTGGTGGTTTGAAAGTTAGAAACGATCTGAACAAAATCCGCTCCGCTACGTGCTAAAAAAGAGACGAGGAAAAAATGGCTCGCCAGTCCTTTAGAAACAGCTGCTGATTATTGAATTCCAGTATGTCGATGTAAACAATCAAAGCAAAGCAGGGAAAATTGCACGTACAAGCCTCAAGTTTTGTCGACGTCGTTCAAATGGGGAACAGTAGCAAGAATCTTGCTCGTTATTCTTTGTGAATGCCAGGAGAAAAATTCTATACTCTAATTTGCTTGGCTTGATACGCTCACTGTGTCAAGAAAATGTTTGTAAACGAGAACATAAAATCCTTGAACAGGAAGCATGTTTTCGAGTTTCTTTGGACTTTGGAAAGGTCGTGTTGGTCAAAGCCGGGATTAGAAGGTCCTGAACAACACCAGTGATACAAGCAAAGTTCTTCAATTGCTTTGGTCATTTAGCAAGCTTTTCCCATAATTCCCAAAGCATAATTTTCAGCTTTCCTTTATACAGGCAAAGAGTTCAAGCTTAAACTGGAGGTGAAATCTAAGCTTTGTGACCCTTTGTGTTTTGTTTTGTTTTAAAGAACTTTAGTAAGTTTACGCTTTATTTCATAAAACAAAAACATTGTTTACAGAAAGGCTAGCTTTGATATGCAAAAAATGTTTGATGAAATTAACCTACAGTAAGCCTATTTTGCACGAGCATTCGAACAAGAAACGTCCTCAGAGTACTGTTTGTGACGAAGTGTGTTTCCATGGGCGTTCAAGGAAAACAATCATTTTGCTTCAGCATTTGGTGCGATCTGAGTTGTATCAAAGTTAGGAGCAGTAAACATTCGAGATTTTCAAAGATATTTTGGAAAAGTTCTAAAACAGACATAAACTTAAAACAAAAGCAAAAGAAAACAAGAAAGTGATCTGGTTAAAAAAAATCTTTGTTTAGCGCAGTCGGAAAATCTCAGTGAAAACAGCGATGGCTTCGTGGCCTGCTGGCCGAGCGAACTGAGGAAACAACAGATTTGAGCTGCCTCCAGTGCAGTAGAAATGAAAAATACCTGTCAGAATGACTCAGTTGAGACAAAAAATAGAAAACGAGACAATTGCCGAGGGATTGTGCGGACAAGTTTCCGCTATCAAGAATTCCCGTCTCAGCTTGTGTTAAGAAGAACAACAAGAACACCCAGCTAACAGGAGAACAGAAAGTGTTAAAAGAAGAGTCAGGTGTACTGTAAATTTTGAGATAAAGACCAAAAAACAACAGCAAAGCATGAAAACAGCTTTCTGAAGCCATTTTAAGAATTTTGGGAGGTTGCTGGGAAAAATTTATCTGTTACGCGCCTGCTACGCGTCTTGAGCACCAGGCGTCGGTGACTAAAACGGAGCATTCAGCAGAAACAAAGAATATTCTTTCGCAACAATCAAGCGCAGATGACAAAATAAAAGAAGGAAAATAGTAGAAGTACAAGAATGAGATTAAGACGCTGAAAAAGTGCATTCAGAAGAACGAGTGTGAGATTGAGCAAGTAGGCTGAGCTTTGCCTGACAGGGAAGTAGTGATGAAAGAGATTCAAATTTGTGGTTGACTTTGCTAAAAGAGGAAAAGAAAGAATTGGCTTATGTAAGAAACTCGTAAAAAATACAAACCGAATGATTCTAGGAGAAAGAGACTGAACTAGACTGTGCCAAGCGCAGGAAGGTTTACGACTTATGGAGGAGACTGCTGAGTCTCTGAAACGTGTTGTCAGCCAGATGGACACCATTCTACAGTATGCAGATTCTCACACTTTGAATTCAGACATTTCGTCAATTGTAGACGATTGTGATCGCGATGACTTAAATGATTTCTTAAATATAATCATCTTCTTACTCAATGAAGACGAACATGGTGAGATTAGAGATCAAGAGGACAGATCTGAAATGAGATCTTTGTTAGTAGCTGGACGTGAAGACAACACCATGAAGTCTGTGGAAAATGATGAAGAATTAGAGGAAGTTAGTGAACACACAGAAGTGAATTCAGAAGATATCTGCCGAAGGCGGATGAAAGTGTAAGTCGACCAACTAAACCAGACCTTAAAAAGTTCCAAAACGGGGCCCTTCAATTAAGAGAGGAACGTTGGGAGCAGAAAACTAGAGATTGAGACTATAAAATTGATGACTTAAAACATCAGTTAAGAATCAGAAAAGAGTCCTTGAATGAATGTGTGGCGCAGTTGGAGAACGAAAGTATTGAGGTTATAAGAATGCTTCAAAGAGAAGTCAAAAATACAAAGAATTTGTTGCGCGAAAAGGAAGCTACACTGTTGCGAGCAGAACATATAGTAGCAGAATTTCTTGATGATTGGCCGTTTTTATGCTAGAGACGTTAAAGTCGTCTAGACGCATTTAACGTCTGAGACGTTAAAGCCGTCTAGTGTAAAACCGGGGCGCACAAAAGTAGACGACCTTATTTAAAAAAGTAGATTTTTCCGAAAAAGGACTAGGCTCTACTCTCGGAAGACAATGGACACGAGTTAAAGCGGCGCCAAAAATGAACTTCAAGCCCGCGAAATGCGAACAAATTGTCCAAACTCTTAAACTCTATTTCTCGCCGTCGCCAAGAAAGGCATGACTTAGAAATGCAGATCTTGGTAACAAATTCAGTTCGGTCTTCTGCGAGAACAGATGCAAACTCCTTAAGTTCATCCTCACTCCACTTTCTACCACTAGACTCCTTCATGCTCTTCTTGGCCGCCATGTTGTTTTGCACTCGTCCCAGTCGTTTCTGGAAGAGTCGAGCATAAATGCGTCCTAGTTGTCTGCCTTATTTACTGTTTTTATACTAGGCGTTAAAGTCGTCTTAAGACGACTTTAACATTTCAGACGACTTTAACGTCTCTAGCATAAAAACGGCTAATCTGGGGATTAGAGGTAGCAAATTTGATGAAAGCGTAGATTTTGTGGGCAAGCTGGATGCCATCGGGGAAGCTTCAAGAAAACCTTGAAAGTGCTCGCTGACAGCTGCTGCAAAAAGAAGCTAGGTTGAAGGAAACCGAGGCCTTTCTAACGACACTCCTTGGTAGTTCACATTCAAGAGTTTTTAATGTGCTTCTCCACAAAATCCAAAGTATACCAGAGGCGACAGACAATGAAAAAGCAGATAAACTGTCAAGTCTAACCATAGCAGAAGCAGAAAACAGTGGTACTGTGGAGCATCTTAAAGAAAACCTCGAAATCACGGAAACAACATTGAGTGAGACAATAAGAGCATTAGAGAGAGCACAAGCAGAGCAAGCAATTAAAACGTATCTTCTAGAGGTCGCGGAGGAAACGCACAGTGGCATTGCATCACAACTTGAAGAAAAATTGAAAGAGACGCAAAATAGACTCAAGGAAACAGAAGACGCTCCGGAAAAAGTGCAAGCTAAGATGGCATCACCCCCTGCCGGTTCTCATGTGATCATGAGGACTAAATAGCACCCAACGCTCCTTAAAAGAAAGAATAGTTGCTTTGCAACAGGTAGAAGCAGAGCTACAAATAACAACGTCTCTTCTTGCCAAGGCAGAATCAAATCACATTGTGCAGGTGGATCAATTTGAAAGAACTATAAAAAAGAACTTGAA